AACTAAAAAAAGACTGAATTTCAAATTTTATGAATCAAAAAAGAGTTTTTTTTAGGTAAAAAGACTAAAAGGAGATTTTTTTTTACCAAAATAAAGAGACCAAATTACGATTTTAACCCCAAAAAAAATGAATCTAGTGCCCAGTTGACATAGGTGATAGGTCCTCTCCGAAGGATTTTTTCTGGAAAATCTAAAACGAGACTAAATTGAGTTTTTATAAAAGTTGATTTTAACTTCAAGGATTAAAAATGAAATTGTGCACTAATATGATATTGAATGGTTCTCCTTTAAAAAAAAAAAAAAAAAATTTCCTCCCACACGCCATGAGCGTATTAGGAGTCTAACCATATGGGCAATGAATTAGGCTTGCATTGTGAATTAAAGCATAGTTAAAGAAATTATTGGATATGGAAACCATATGTGATGTCATGAGGAAGAAATTTACCTAAAGTTACAAGGGATTGGTGCAATCATACCTGGCAGAGGAATAATTTTCCTTTTAATTTACTTTCCTCCGGTTATTATGGCTAAGTGGAACTCTCGTAGGATGAAAGTATATTTTTGTCACCAAAATGGCACCAATAATTAGTAATTATGTCAGCTTCCATTCCAATTCGATGGAACAGAGAACATCAGTGGGCTTACGCAGAATCATTTGTTGTCGCAACCAAAAACAAAAATACGGATTTTGGGTATAATTGCAATTTGCAAAGCATCAATAGGGAAAATGGTGGGGGGTGCATTCCTGGTGGATTCCCACTAAATAGACACCTGAGTTTTGGGAAGTTTTTTTTGGGTAGCTATGGGTAGGGCTGTATTTGCAGGTTAATTAATTTATGGCTACAATTCTGACTCTGAAGATTCTGTGTGTTTTAGTGTAGGGCACAAAGGTAGTTGACATAACAAGCGATGAGAACAATTGGGGCTAGTAGATTTCCTAGTGTCCAACTATTTAAGATTCATATCTTTTTATCATTCACATCTTCTTAATATAGTTTAGATATTTTAAGAGTGAAAATTAGATATGTGGACTAAAATATAAGGATTGCATCCACTATTTGATAATATGTGGAATAACATTTCTTGTAGCTCATATGCTTTTTGCTTAATTTTTTAATGTGTGATTTTTTTACTTAACATGTTTGGTTAATAGTTTTGAGAGATTGCAATTTCTAAAAATTGTCAACCATAGAAACTATTGTCACTAAAAATTGCTACTAAATGTTTAGTTTAGTGTTTAATCAATTAAAGTGCAGTTTATGAGAAATTGACTACTTTATAATCAACTAAAAACCCAATAATAATTTCTAGAGGTAACAGTTTCTCTAGAAACTGCCGACCAAACATTTTCATATTGCAAACAGCATGAGATTTTATGTAATATATAGTGTATACACATTTTATTTTCTACTATAAAGTCTACTACTAAATATTTTCTGTATCACCTAATTGGCCAGGACTAAAGCTCCAGGACATAGAGCTTGCATATATATATATATATATATATTTGGATTGCATAATGAAAAAGAACTCTTTCTCTCATCCTTAACTTATTTTTATTCGTATACCATGCAGTTTGAATTTAGAATATTTTAGTTTTATCAAAATATATATATATATATATATCTCGTTAATTGTTGACAAAGCTCTTATGTTATTGTTCTGCATTTAAAGTGAATTATTATATATAATCTATGATGTGTACGTATTTATTTTGAAAACATGTTGCATGAGTAAAGCTTATTCCCACCGCCCCAAATTGTAAGGATGCCTGAATTATTGTTTTCAATGAATTAACAAAATTAAGATTCCTAGATATAAGATATGGTGAATTTCTTCTCTATATTCTCTAATGGATTATTGTTGCTGCTTGATTCATCAACTGTTGAAATGTAGAAATGGACCTACACATTTCCTACCACCAGGAGTCTATTTGCGACTTGACATTGAGAATCTCAAAATCACGTCTCCCATCATCCATCCTTTTCCGTTTGGATTGCTGAACTCTTTAATGATATATAAATTAGAATCAATGAACTTATGAATTCATGAGAGAATAGCGTAGAGAACTAATTATGAAAACTAGCAAGAGCAAGTCGTAAAACTGAGCCATATCATGTTGTAAACGTGTAAGGCACCTTAATTGATTTTTTTGTTCGGAAGGGGACAATTTAAGGAAAAGAGGTAGGAATTTCTGACTTTGCTTATGGGCGCCTTTATTAGTTGTGCTAAGCATAGAGAATTATACTTTGTTTCAATTTATAAGAATAGGAGATTCTAAATT